TCTTACATACCAGGACCACCAGGCTAGGGATGGCACCACTCACCATGGGCTGGACACCCCCTCCCCCATCTCTGATTAATTTTTATTTAAATTAAAAACTATTTTACATACCAACCCCAGTTCCCTCTCCCTCTCATCCTCCCATTCCCCCCACTATCCCTCCATCCCACCCCCCATCCACTCCTCTGGGGAGGGATGAAGCCTCCCATGGGGGGTCATCAAAGTCTGTCACATTTGGGGCAGGACTTAGGCCCTCCCTGGTGTATTTAGGCTGAGCGAGTATCCCTTCATAGGGAATGGATCCCAAAGCCCATTTGAGCACTAGGGATAAATACTGTTCCACTGCCAGAGGGAGTTTTCTATTTAGTTTATTAATCTTTTGTTTGGAGACTGTCTGTTTCTGTATTGTTCTGGACTTTGATTTTACTGAGGTGGGTCTGAGTGACCTGTTTTGAAGAGAGTGGATGGAGTTAGTGATAATTAAGGACAATTGTTTCAGTGTTCAATTTCATTAATGATACTTTTTACATCTGTATAATTTCTGCTTTTTTTCCTTTTCTGTATTGCCATGACAGAAATGATGAGCCCTGGAATAGTAAAGGTGTGTGTGTGTGTGTTTGTTTTGGTGTTTTTAAAAAATATTTTAAAATTTATGAAGATGCAGGTCTTCAGCTTTCTCACACTGAAGAACATGGCTTTGCTCAGCACCTTTGTGAAGGGTCTCTTATGCGTCTCTCTTTTTGTGAGCATGTGTTTACATTTTTATTACCATACTTTTCTCATATATTTTCTTTTCTTTGTTATTTTTTACATTCCAATCCCAGTTCCCTGTCCCTCCTTTCCTCCTGCTCCTCCAACCCCATTCCCTCCATCAACTCCTTGGAGAAGAGAAGGCCTCCCCTAGGGAGTCTACTAAGTCTGTCTCATCATCTCATTGAGGTGGGACCAAGTCTAGACTGAGTTTGTGCATTAGAGTTACATCTTGGACCCATTGCCAGTGGCCTCATGTATTGTCCCAGTTGCAGCATGTCTTATTCTTAGAAGGTTAATATCAGAGTAAGTGTGGCAGCCAGAAAAGCTACTGCAGGCCTTTTACATTTTAGTGAGAGTTCCTCAGAGAATCTCTTAGGCCTAAGCTAACTACGTGGAGAGAGTAGACAGAGACAGTAGTCTGTGAATTAATGAAATAGAGGTAATTGTAGTGCTTCCAGGAATGGAATTGGAATCAGTGAGGTTTTGAAAGCCCAGCATGGCTGAGCACAGCAGTGGGAGCAGTGTCTCTGAGAACCTGGTAACATGAGCTAAGTTTTCAGAGCCACTCTGCCTGCTCATGATTCACACTGAGGTCTACTGATGTTTTTCTCTTAGCCTCTAAATATATTTTTAAATTTTTAAGCATTTAAAAATTCTTTTATAACTTTATTGACTTTGGTTATATCCTTCTGAGTCCCTTCCCCCTTTCATCTCCTTTGGGGTTGGGTGGGTGCCCCTTTGTATTTAATTGCATTCATGAGTATGAGTGGGGTTGACTTGAGCAAGGACAGTGTACCAGTTTCCCTACCCCAGCAACCATTAACTGCCTATTTGTCTTAGTTAGGGTGTCTATTGTTGTGAAGAGACACCATGACCATGGCACCTCCTAGAAAGGAAAACATTTAATTGGGGTGACCTACAGATCAGGAGTCCATTAGCATCACAGTGGGATATGGCAGCATGCAGGCAGACATGATGCTCGAGAAGGAGCTGAGAGTTCTACATCTTGACCTACAGGCAACAGGAAATAAATTGTCTACTACACTGTGCATAGCTTGAGCAAAGACCTCAAAGGCCACCTCCACAGTGACTCACTTCCTCCTACAAGGCCAAACCTACTCCAAAAAGGCCACACCTCCTAATAGGGTTATTTCCTCTGAGGGCCATTTTCTTTTAAACTACCACACTGTTGCTACTCAGGAAGGGTTAGGACCTCATGAACTTCCTGACACTTGTGTTAGTAGACATAGACTTGTGCAAATCTTGTTGGCAGCTTCCAAACTATAACCTTCTCCCCATTTTTCATTTTGGAACTTTTATTATTCTGTGTGTGTGTATGTATGTACAGTCAGGCATGTGTGTCAGAGGAAAGCTCTTATAAGCTGGTTCTGTTGTGCTTACCTAGGGTTGAGTTCAAGTCTCCAGGCTTGTATGGCTGACCCAGAACTTGTTTTGTACCAGGCTGTCCTGGAACTCGCAGAGATCCGCCTGCCTCTGCCTCCCAAGTGCTGGGATTAAAAGCAGCTGCAGCTGCTGCCACCACCAACCTTTACTTTTTTCCTTAATTTTTTTGCACTGTGTGTGTGTGTGTGTGTGTGTGTGTGTGTGTGTGTGTGTGTGTGTGTGTGTGTGTGTCTGTCTGTCTGTCTGTCTGGCGGTGTGCTGAGGATTTCATCCAGGTAGTCAGCTTTAATAGCAGGTACCTGCCTTATCTGTTGAGCTGTCCAACCAGCTCCCAGGTTGATATACCTTAAAAAAAATTGACATAGAAATACAAATGGAGATTGAAGTAGTAGGTATTTGCAAGGTTGCAAGGCTGATTTTTTTTTTCTTTTAAAGAACCTAGGAGTGGTGCTGAATAAAGTACTTTTTAAGTTGTTGAAGATGGAGGTGGGACATGATGTAAAAGCACATTGGGTTTTAAAAAATTAATTAGTTTGTTTGAGACAAGGTTTCTTTGTGTAGCCCTGGCTTTCCTGGAATTAGCTCTGTAGACCAAGTTGGCCTCACAGAGATCCACCTGCCTCTGCCTCATGAGTGCTGGAATTAAATGCATGTGCCTCCATGCCCAGTTGTTTTGGGAATTGTTAATAGGTAAGCAGACCTAGTGATGGTAACAGATTAGGTAGTAATAAATAGGCAATAGTGCTGATTGGAAGGCACATAGGACCTCACAAGATGCAACACTAACAGAGTTTATAATCATTGATGAATCTTTCAGTTTTTTGTGGAACTAAACAAGTCTCATGATTTGGTGAAGATGTGAAAGGAATATTGGAAACCCTTTCTTCTATTACTAGAATGTGTTTGGCTCCATAACCTTAAAATAGTTTTTACCGTGAGGTTTTTTTATATAGACAAACTGAAATAAGATGTTAAAATATAAACCACTTTTTGCTACAAAATATTGTCATAGAAGTGGTTCAAGTACAATTTCATTATGAAAAACCTATTCAAAAAATGCAGGAAACCTGAGATACAGAATACAGTTAGCTTCTACATACAATAACATATTGATTTAAAACAACAAGCCCATGTTGCAGTTATTAATAAAAGGGAGAAGAAAGTGAATTTAAAACTATGGAACTGCCAAGAAAGTAGACAGGCCTGTGCCTTGTTAAACTTCAGGAAGTATTTATTGAGAGCCTGCTGTGCTTTGCTAGGCTTTACTTAACAACAGGCAGGGGTTACCACAGGCTTTGCATGAAATAGTTAATTCTCCACAGGAGCCAGTCAAGGAGAAATCTTTGTCCCCATTTTATAGATGAGGAGATAGAGTCTTAGAGATGTAGGCAGTTTCCCAAGGTGCCTTGGTTACTGAAAATGAAGAAGTGTGCTTCCCAGGCAGAGCCGGTTGTCCTTGGGAGGGGAGGGCTTTACTGAAAAATTTCAGTGTGGCCCCTTGGGCTTGGCTCTGTAAATTACCTCAGAATTTTCAAGGAAAGTTTTATTATTATTATACCTATAGGATGAGGATGTTTGGTTAAATTAGAGAAATCCCTTAATAATACTTGGAAAGAATTCTCCAACTCTGTTGCTTTTTATGCAACTGTTTTTTCATTTTCTTATATTTTAATTTTATTAGTATGGTCAGCATTTAAAAACATTGTTTTGCCTCAAACAAACACCCACACCCACAATTACTGAGACCTTATAGCCTTCCAATGATATCTTTCTTTGTTTATTTCTGGAGCTGAGGAGTAAACATAGGGCCTTGCACTTGCTGGGCTACCACTGAGCTAAATCCTCAACCCTGATAGCTTTTTTTTTAAACGTGAACTTTTAAAAATTATAAATGTATACTGTAATTTTTTAAAAATATAGTTAAATACTTTTCAGGAACAGAAAAAAAAAAGCTTTTCATATGAAGTGATACTAGGTTTTACTCAATTGAAATTTTGAGCCTTGGCTAGTTGTGGTGTGTTTAAAGGCAAGTGTGGTATAGTTTTCCCGGGTCTTTCACTCTTCTATTTAAGTCTTTTTCCTACCTAACTTGATTTAGTTAATTGAACTTGTAGTTAAGTCTCTGATGGTGGCGTTATTGCCAGTCCCTTCCTAAAAGGACAAGACTATCATCTCTGCTCAGTACCTGGGTGCTGCTGTTCACTTGTGTACTGCGAAGGAGGAGGGGGAACTAACGCGTAAAAGAAATCTTTTTAAAGGTGTTAGGGACTAGATACTAGACACATCTTTAATTGAAAGCAATCAGGAAAGTATAACAAAGATTAAGCATATTTTAATCGTTGAATTGGGGTTTTGATTTAATATTTCATTCTTGAGTGACAAAAATGATTCACTGAGCCATATTTTTTTAGGGCTAATCAAATAGAAGGAGGCAGGGGTTGCATATCTGTTCATTGCAGACTGAAACATAATTTAGTCTTCTTACATTGCTTAGTATATTGAATTTAGATGTTAGTATTTCTTGATTGTATTCTAATTTGTTCAATTTGAAACCTTTTTATAGAGCCCGGGTAGGTCTACCTTAAGAAAAAAGGACACCCCTCTGCTTAAAAGAAATGGTACTTCCTGCTTTCATAAACAGTCATGTGCATAGTTTAGCAAGGCCTGATGCCTCTGGAGCTTTTTCCCTTTATAGCACCATTGAATCCGAGTCCTAACAGAAGTACTGTGAATCTTGTGGCCTCATTCTGAACAAAAGGGATTAGAGAAGAAAAACCTCTTGATATAAGGCTTATAAGCAAGGGCGGGCAATCTTGGTTGTGAATATTTTCTGATTTTTCCAGAAATCAAGCAGAAGATTGAGCTGCTGATGTCAGTTAACTCTGAGAAGTCGTCCTCTTCAGAAAGGTACAGCTACGTCTCTTGCATGAACAATTAATGGTGTAGCATTGCTAAGAAACAAACAGGACATAACATATTCTTTTCCTTGTCAAGTTTGCTATGTAATGTTGTGCTGCATGCTGGCATTGTGCTGTATTGAAGATGTGTGTTTGGGCAAGCTGTTCTGCTTTGCTAAGGGTAATTGATTGTTTAGAGAGACAGTCAGCCTAATCAGCTGCAGCATGTACAAGGTAACACAACAGACCGCTGGTTTATGTGTGACAGCTGCTGAAAGCTTAAAGAAATTAACCATGAAAACCTTGCTACTACGAGGTTTTTATTCGTATGTTTTGAGGTTGCTGCTACATAGAATTTCCAAGGTTTTTTATAATATCTAGCTTAAACATAGTTTATTTTTTTCTTATAAGTATTGCATTTTTTAGTGTACAAAGGGAGTGCCATTTGTATATAGCTTAGGAATTACAAACCCACAGATTAGTCACATTCTCAAAAAGAGATGTGATATTTCTTCAAGTCTCTGCTAGGCAATGGAACAGTCACTGCATGCAGTAATGGTTCATGCCTGCAGGTAAGGACAAAATGACTCAGAAGTATTTTTAAAGCAATTATTATATCTGTCATTCATATGATTATACTTGTAAGGAGGTACTTCATGAAAATTATTTTGCTTTATAAGCAAAATGAAGATGTTTTTATCTGCTGTAAAAAATGAGACTAAAGTTCCCTTTTATTAAAGTAAATTCTCTGTTTACTTGTTTATCAAAATTGTGTATATACAGTATATATTCAGAATATTTTAAATTGAGGTTCTTAGGCAAAGAGTTGATGGTTACCTTTTCTTTTGCTTATCTTACCAATTTATACTTAATGTTTATAATTGTATTAAGCCATGTTGATTCATTTTTTCTAGGACCAGTTTTCAGGGCTGTCTTTGCTGTTCATAGATTGAAAATTTAGGAAAATAATTACTTGGTGGTAAGGAAACGATACAGGAAAAGTACTGTTAAAACAAAATCTAGCTGATCTTCCTTGGCAAAATGTGTACTTCAGGAAGACATGATGTATGGATAGCAACAAGATCATAGTGACTTACTAAAATTAGGTGAATAAGCCTGTGCTTGCAACTTTGGTTACAAATGAAGATGTAACTACTTTCTGTAGAGACTGAAAATAAAAAACAACTAAGAAGGTTTGTGTTTATTTTTCTCAGCTGTTTTCTAACTTCTGGTTTGTGGTTAGCCACTTGATTTTAATCATTTTGTTTGTTGAACTGCAAAACAGTCTTCAGCCTTGTGAATGTTCTGCCAGTAAAATGGTGGTGATGGAGTAGCAGCGGGTACGGTGCACCAGTGAGCACCCAGTGTTGGTGGGGTAGGGTCTTGTAGTAGAGTGTACTTAATGAGATGACAGCAGTAGTTATGCAGCCTTCTGCGGTAGAATGGATTCTTTTTGATAAATTGACGGATTAACATAGTGGATGAGTATCTCTGAAAAAGAAGTTAGGAATAAGTAAATTACTTTCTAGAACTCATTGTATGGAAAAATACTCTAAAATATATTTTCATGATTTTATTTACGTAGTCTCTTGTGGTTATTTGAAAGAAAAGAGAAACCAGTTGCTGTGAGGATGACTTGGGCATGGTTGGCTGGAGCTTGCTTTGTTGATTATGATTTTAGTAGGTGTGTAGAGTTATATTAGGCAGTTGTGATATCTTCACCTAGGTGGTGAGTATGATTTATTCATCAATTTAATACTTAGTAAGCATAAATGTTGTTTAATTAATATAAGTATATTAAAATACTCTTTTCCTCTCCATTTCACTACAAATTATATCATTTGACCTTTTAACTTATTTAGAGCAGTGTTTCTCAACCTTCTTAATGCTGTGACCCTTTGTGTTGTGTTGACCCCATCCATCATCCTATTTCATAGCTGTTATTTTGCTACTGTTACAAATTGTTATTTAAATGTCTATGTTTCCTGATGGTCCTAGGCGACCCTGTGAAAGGGTCGATTGACACCCTCCCCTCAAGGGATCACAACCCACAGGTTGAAAACTGCAGATTTAGAAGAACCTATAAAAGAAAAATCTCAAGTGTGAAAATTTCATTATCTAATACCAATGTCTTGCTCAGAATGTAACATTCACTGCAGTTTTCAAATTAATTGTTAGTTATTGGATCTTAAAATATTTTATTGGATCTTTTAAAAATGCATTTTAAAAAAAATTAGCTTTATTTTATATGCATTGGCATCCTCTGGAACTGGAGTTACAGACAGTTGTGAACTGCCATGTGGGTGCATGGAATTGAACCGAGGTCCTCTGGAAGAGCAGCCAGTGCTCTTAACCACTGGGCTATCGCTCCAGCCCCCAAAATGGAATTAAAAAATGATTAATGATTTTATGCAAAGTATCTTAAGTGTTAGAGGTCTTTGGATTTTCATAAGGCCAAGATTCCAGATACCTATCAGTAGGTAGGACAGAGAAACCTAGTTTCTTTTCTCCAAAGAGGGAGATGCTGTTGAGTTGTGTGACACCACAAGGTATTGTTCTTATACTTAGTTCTGACCCTGCAGGTTAGGGGCTCTTCTGAGAGCTCTTGTAGAGACAGTACTTCTGAATACAAAGTGTAGTAGGTATGCAATCTGTGCAGGGATGTTGTTGCTAACCCTTTCACTGTATGTACACTTCAGAAAATGCTCGTCTTGTGGAAGGTAACATTGGCTGCATTATTTTTGTTCATAACATTTCTAAATGGGAAAAGTATAATAAAGAGAAAACCAACTTAGTTTAATTTTGTAGACTTTTGAGGAGACTCCTTCATTGAAAAATGAAATTGGTCTAAAGTAAAATGTGTTTAGTTATAATGCAGTATACTAATGTATCACAGTGGTTCTTGAAATTAATTTTAAAGTTATACTTTTAGCTCAGGTGAAGACCCATAAGGATGTCATTTGGTAGAGGAGACGTGCAGTGCATGCGCTCCATTTAGGAGCTGAGTCACGAGCCAGTGTTAACGCAGCTACACTCAGCTACAGTTTAGTTTCAGATGCTGTGCTTAGAAGAGAGAAGAAAAAAATTTACCACCCTCCAGAAGAAAATCTTAACTTACGTTTCTCAAGATTCATAGCAAAGAATATTATTGAGTGAATGATAAGTGAAAAAAACAACTGATGTGTGTTGTGGCCAGTTAAGAGGAGACATCTGCTGCAAGAGAGCCTTCTGGAGAGCCGAGTAATAAGTCCTACTACAAATATTTCTCTTTTTTTTTTTTAAGTTGAATGAATGAGCACAGTGAGTTATTTGCTAACATGTAGTGATGGTGGTTAGACATTGTTTACTCTTTTGTCCACTCGATTTAGTGTGATAAAGTAAACTGAATAGTTAATGACAAAACTTAAGTTTCCCTCTTTTCCCCCCCCCCTCTTTTGCTTTGTTCTGGCTGTGCCACTCCTGGAGCTAGGTAGACAATGCAGTGAAGAGGAGGAATAGTAATCATAGCCAAGAAAAGGGTAGCAATTACTCACTAAACAATCCAGATATCATTTTTCCTGTTGGTTGGTTGGTTGTTGGCGCTAGAAATTGAACCAGATACTACTAAATTCTTAATAGAACGAGGGGAGGGAGTCCCGAATGAACGAGAAGGAGTATATCCCACAATCACTTAAAAACTAGTAATTCAGTGCTCTAATTAGGATTTGTATTTTCTCAGGGAAAGGAATCTAAAAGAGCAGTCTCATTGTACTTGTAATTTGACATTTTTAGTGTCACAAAGAGGGTCTTTGTAGCATCCCAGATAGTCAGCAAATACTGAGTCCACAAGGTTGCTTACTGCATTTTTTTCATGAAGGAAGCAACAAGGAAGGGGGAAAAGTCATAAATGTTATGCTTTGGCCTGTATTTGACCAGTGCTGAGTAAATAGCATTGGTAAGAAGTCCTGTGTAAGAGCATTTCATATACACAACTTGTGCTTGTTCATGTGTGTCTTTTAATTTCTTATTGTGGAGCAGACAGAAACCTTGAAGAATTGTGAGACAGGAGAAATTTGATGGTAATGGAGATCCACAACAGGGTGTCCTTCATTTGCTGCAGACTGTGGTGAGGTTCGAGCAGTACAGAGGAGCAGTCAAAGCAACTCTTCCTTACTCACCCCTGCCTCCCCAGCCCCCACACTAGGCTGAACACTCAGTGATGACTGTACTTTTCTCTTCCTGTCCTTTGCTCGTTGTTTCTCCATTCACAGGACAGGTTTTGTTTCTTTTTCTTTTTCTGAATGGTAGAATGAGTCAAAGTGGTGGCTGAATGCTTATTTTGTTTATATTTTGTATTCATTAGTATTTTTATTGAAGATAATGGGATTTTGCAGACCATGTGAAATACAGTTTTGTGGATTTTTTTTAAAGATTAGTTCGTAGTGTTTTTGCTGTTGTTACTGTTCTTTTTTAATTCAGGATTTGTGTGCTTCATGTGTGTAGTTGTTACTTTCCAGTGTGTAGCTTGGGTCCACTTCTATCCATTTCACCTATTGATGGGTGTTGGGGGCTATGTGTTGTTTGTGGCTATGGACTTAGGAATAGTGTTGCTATGAGCACTTGTGTGCATGTCTTTTGATAAATGAACCTGTGTATATATTTCTGTTGAGGCTAGGTTTATAAACGGATGGGGCCTATTTTTGAGGACAGATGTTATAAAGGAGATGAGCATTAGAACTTAGCCAAAGTCATAGGGGAACCATTCCCACTGATTATCATCTTTTAACAGGTCCTAGAGGCCATGCATGTTAACATTAGTTTTTAGATTTGGTTTCAATAGCAAAATAATTACTCGGATAAATTCTCTTACAAGCTTATCTCATAAACCATGTAAGGAAGAGCCTACTTTTAGGAACTGGGGAGATAAATCAGTCTTGTGACATTTTCATCTGTTTTAAACTATAAACTTTTTAAGTTGTACTTGTTCTTGAAAATTTCTTGAACCAGCATAAAAGTGCAGTCTTGCCATTT